GTAGTACCAATTAATTCTTATAAGCTATCCCAAAGTGTGCAGTCTCATATCTACACAGTCTTTGTAATCCCTCTCTTTCGGGTGTCGATTCGATTCATTCATTCATGTAACCCCCCGCTGGAAGCCTGTCAGGAGCCGCTCCTTGTCTATGCCCTTTCGCACCGGGCGATCACTCCCTGCCCTCGTCAGCGCTCGGGATGTTACACCTGGCACAAATGGGGCGCAAGGTAGAGGATTTGACCACTGAGGTAGGTCGCCTTGGAAAAGAAGTTCACGACCCGCAGACCGCCAACAAGTCCTTATATGATAGCAATGAATTGCTGAAGAAAGATAGTGAGGAAGTTAAAAGCCTTACTCAGAAGAAAGACAGTTTGTCGAAGTCGTTGGACAGGTCCGCAGCGGAGAAGAACAATTTTCAACTGGCGAAAGATGAGTTGTCGGCCGAGTTGGCCACCATGTATGGGAACCTGCATGGAGCCCAAGAGGATTCCAAACAATCAGCAGGACGAGTGAAGGAGTTGGAAACTACCTTGGCTCAGGTTTTTTACGAGTCTTTCAACAATGCTCTTCAGCAAGTCTTGCTTCGCTATCCTGGGGTGGATACTACTAGTTTCATCCCTGAATATATGGTGGAGGGTAAATGACTGGTTCATCGGATTTCAGATAATGAGGCGGTAGTGATCGAGGAAGGTCCCGAGACTGAGTAGGAGGAGGATGATATGGGGGAGGACTAACCTGCTGGCGATGCTACCGAGTAAGACTTGTCAGTGGAGCTTGCTGGAGTTACTTTGTCTGGCGAGGGAGTGGGAGGTGGTGAGAGGGATGCTGCCGCTGCTGGCATAGTTGAACAAGCTTCGGCGATTGAAGATGAGGCGACCCCTGTAGGAGATCGCCGAGTTTAGTTTAGTTTACTTCTAGCTCTTTTCCTTTTCCCATTCTGATTTTCCATGGTTGGTATGTCGACCATGATCTTGTACTTTCTTTTTGCATCAATGAAGTTTACTTTAAATTTGACTCTTGAGTTTCTCTTTAGTAAATTAATCAATGGCCACCTTCAATAAATTAATCAAAGGCGACCTTATTCAATCCAGTTCATCAGTTAACTTGTATGTTGGCTGGGGGTGAGAGCCATCCCAGTCCAACGCATGGCGAGGGTGAGAGCCATCCCGTAAGTTTTATGTTGGCTAGGGGTGAGAACCGTCCCAGTCCAACTCGTTGCGGGGGTGAGAACCGTCCCGTAACTTTTATGTCGGATGGGAGTGAGAACCGTCCCAGTCCAACTCTTGGCGGGGGTGAGAACCATCTCGTAACTTTTATGTTGGCTGGGGGTGAGAACCGTCCCAGTCCAACTCTTGGCGGGGGTGAGAACTGTCCCGCAACTTGTATATTGGTTGAGGGTGAGAACCATCCCAGTCTAACTCTTGGTGGGGTTGAGAACCATCCCGTAACCTGTATGTTGGCTGGGGTTATCCCAGTCCAACCTTGGTGGGGGTGAGAACCATCCCGTAACTTGTATGTTGGCTGGGAGTGATAACTGTCCCAGTCCAACTCTTGGCGGGGGGTGAGAACCATCCCGTAACTTGTATGTTGGCTGGGGGTGATAACCGTCCCAATCCAACTCTTGGCGGGGTGAGAACCATCTCGTAACTTGTATGTTGGCTGGGGGTGATAACCGTCCTAGTCCAACACTTGGCCGGGGTGAGAACCATCCCGTAACTTGTATGTTGGCTGGGGGTGAGAACCATCCCAGTCCAACTCTTAGCGGGGGTGAGAACCATCTCGTAACTTGTATGTTGGCTGGGGGTGATAACCGTCCCAGTCCAACTCTTGGCGGGGTGGAGAACCATCCCGTAAGAAATTCATGGTAATAGAGAAAACTAAGTAAAATTGAATTCTTAGTAGTGGAGAATTGACACAAGTGTTTATTGATTAATGGTGATGTCCTGCCTCGTTAAAAACCTTCACAAGAAAAACCCATTGGGACAAAAACTTGGGAAAGGAAAAGAGTGCAGATATGTTACATGACAGTTCAGCTATAATATCTTTTGAGCTTGTCAGCATTCCACGCCCTAGGAATTGCTTTTCCCTCTAGTGTCTCAAGGGAATATGCTCATTCTCCCAGCTTGTTGGCTATTCGGTAGGGTCCTTCCCAGTTTGGGGCGAGCTTTGCTTCTCGAGCGTTCTTATTTCCTACGTCTGCCTGCCTGAGAACTAGGTCTTTTTCTGTAAACTTCATGGGAATGACTTTCTTGTTGTACCGGGTGTCTAACCTCTCTTTGGATTGGCGTTCAGACTGTGCTGCATGTCCTCAGAATCTTCTTCTTCATATCTTCCTCTGGTGTTTGGTCTGGCCTGTTCTCTGTGATATCCTGGAGAATCTTCTCTTTGATTCCGACCAGGGTGAGGCCGATAGTCAGCTTGGTTGGTCCTCCTTCCTTCAGGCGACCTACATCACTTTGGGCGACGCCTGGCCGGACCATCTTCACGGGTTGAATTGTTGTATCTTCTCTGGGCTCTTTCCTTGATTAGTTCATCGATTTCTTCTTTAAGGGATCTGCATTCTTCTGTGTTATGGACGTTGCTGCAGTGGAATTTGCAGTACACGACGGGATCCCTAGTGTAACACCCCGTATATATCCGGTTTGTTATCATATCATCGTATTAAGCCACGCTTAATAAAAAAAAATGCGGAATATCTTTTTCTTTTCAATTATGACGTCATTATCATTAGCCAAGTTGAATTACTTAATTCATTTCATAAAACATCGCCTGTATGTAAATTGCAAAAGACAGCTAACTGAAATACCTCATAACATAGATGTGAGTATCTAAGTCACGGATCTACAACACGTAGTCCGAACAGTATTCTAATACATTATTAATTACAACTAGAAACAACTAAACCTAAAGTCAAGTCAAAGTGACATGGACAATCCCCATGCTCACCAAGTAAGGCAACAAAATCCCACAGCAGTCTCAACAATAACATCATGAAGCTAAAAGCATAAAGGGCAACAGTCAATATCCAGCATCCAACATAAGTAGCATAACAACATATAATCAGCTAAGCTCCGGCCTCCTGCCGCTTGAGGGCTCAACCCCCGCATTACCTGAACCTGAAATATGTGCCCTAAATGTGGGGTGAGATCTCTAAAAAGAAATCTCAGTAAGACAAGGGGTCCTCAAGGATCTTCCACCCCAAGCTCACTTACACGTGCACTATAAGTTCAAAAGCATTTAACAGTATAAGTTCCAAAACTATGTAGTGCAACAGATATTCATGCCATGTGTGTTTTAACTATTCTACTGGCCAGAGAAATGCAGGACGTACGTCTACAACCCCACAATAAGTACAAGGAACACCGCTTGCACCTCACTCATGGCCTCACCATCTTGTATGTCTCCACATACTCAGGCTTACTGTATAAGTGGAACACCACATACATATCATAAAGGCACTCGCATATAACAACTCAATAGCATTTATCAAAACAATACATGAAAACAACATCATGTATATAAATCATCCCCCCATGGGACATGGTGGAACCAACAATGGCTAAACCGAGGACACGAAAGCTTACCTTACAAGCTAAATATCCAATGCCAAGAGTCCACACTAGCTCAAACCCCAAACACAGCAGAATCACAATATGTTTCGGACCAACAATATATCAATAATCATGCTTAACAGGCATAAGACACAAAGACAACACATTTCCTTTACGTTTTACGTCTTTAGGCTTCTCACAAAGCCACAAGCCCTTAATCACTTAGATTCTGACTTACATTAATCATTACAGAAGTTCAACTTCATCAACATAGGGTCCACGAACCCATAACTCAGTTCTGTATGAACAGTACCTTCACTGTTCACGAAAACCCATAATATCCGGATATATGTCGTGGGCATATCCGGATATCAATATCCGGATATCTCTCTTCCAATATCCGGATATCAATATCTGAATATTCAGATCCCCATATCCGGATATCAATATCCGGATATTCATATCCGGATATTTCGCGACAGAATGCAGTTCTGCATTTCGAGAGATACCCTTCCCAAAGGTGTTTCATTTCATGCATACAGAAGCTCAAACATGCGATTTAAGGTGTGTTTAACATTACCCAACCTTAGGTTATGATCTTTAGCATGTTACATGCATCAAGGTTCCATTTTTAATCATTAAACTCAAGAACAAAGGTGATGGTCATACCACAAGCTCAAAATGACTTTCAAGTGCACGAAAATGGCACACCACAAAGGTTCTTTCTCACCAAAAATGGCTTCTTGGACCAACACCAACAAGACACAAGCTCTCAAACCATCCCAACAATGAAGTCAGCCCACCACTCACCTCACACAGCCACCACAACCCAGAAATGGAGCTCACTACACACTCACCAAGGTAGTTCTCACTCACCCAAGTGTTTTAGTGAAGAAACTAGAGGAAAATGTGACAGCTTGGTAGAGTTTCACGGGAAAAAGAGGGTGGCAGCATGAAGAGCCCAAGTATCAGAAATGGAGGCACGTAGAGTTGTAAATTCTGACCTAGATGTGTGTGCCAAGGCCTTATATAGGCCACTTAAGCCTTAATCGCACTGTATTAGCGCTAAATGCTACGCTTAGCATTTTAATACCAAACTAAGGATCGTGAACCTACTCAATTTTACAAGACTTTTCATATTTTTATTTTATTTTTCGCAGCACCTTTCCGGTACGCGCTTTTCCATAGCCAGTATCAGTTCTGGCACCAGTTCTCATTATTGTGACTTGAAACTTGTTTTACAAGTCCTATGTATTATTCTAGTGACATATACACACTTTTCATAATTTTCCGGGATACTTCATCGATACACATTTATACTGAGTAGCAGAACCGGTATCTGCGCTTTTCGTCCGAAAAGCCACTTTCAACATTATTACTCACTTACTATAATTATTAGGGTCAATTATGGAATTATTTCCTACATAATTAATTAATTAACTTCCTTAATTAACGGTACGGGTTCTTACACCTAGCTGATTCTTGGCGTTGGGGGTTGGTCTTATGCTCTTCCTTATACTCAGTTTGCAGCACGCTGTGTGACTGACGTCCTGAGGAGCGACGCCCTAAAGGGCAACCCGTGTATCTGGAGGACTTATGAGTTTTTCTATCCTCTTCATCTTGGTCTTTAGTTTTGCTGGCTTTTTTGTCTCGGTTGTGCCCGTCATCAGATCTGCTCCCTTTATATTCTTCGATCCGCATGAACTCTTGGGCTTTTTTCTTGACCTCCTCCAAGTCGATTATTCCATGGCGGGCGAGTTCATAGGCGAAAGCTCCTTGTCTCAAACCTGACAAGAATATATGTACCTTCACTTTAGGATCAAGACCCTGAACCAACAAAGCCTCCTTGCCGAAACGGTCTAAAAAAGATCTGAGAGACTCCCCAGATTGCTGGCGGATTTTCTCAAGAGAGTGGACAGATTTGGGCATTGGGCGACTTGTCACGAAATGAGTTTGAAACTTGCTAGCCAAATCATCCCAGGAAGCAATACTCCCAGTTGGCAAGGTAGTGTACCACGCCAACGCTCTCCCGCCCAGAAGTGTAGGAAACGTCCTACACATGAGGAAGTCTGTTTCACCATGGAGGGTCATTGCCGCTTCAAACTTTTGAACCCATTCAAAAGGGTCAGTATCGCCTACGTAGGTAGTAATATTGGAAGGGCTTTAAAACCCAAAGGTATTGGGGTTAGGCAAAGGTTGTCAGTTAGCAGTTTATTGCGTCCAGAGGTGTTGACGGGTGTGGCATGCGTGTTTAGGTTATACGCGTGTGTGTCAGGCGGTACACGGAGTGCTTGAGGGGCTTCTACTGAGAATGAAAGAGCTAGGGCGTGATGAATGCCTTGTTGGGGTGGAGGCAGGATCATATATGATCCTTGAGGTTGGGGAATAGCTGCGTTATGCGGTGGTACTGCGTAACCATGGAATGGAACTCCGGCAGCTGTGGGCGGTATAGGATAAGGGGCACTAATGTGGTGGGTGTAGGGTCCAGAGGGATATCTGGTGACCACTGGCATTCTAAGGTCGTTATACATAACAACAGGTTGGCTTTGGGGCGGCTGTTGATATATGGCGGGTGGAACTGTTTGGGGGACTGTAACTGGAAATGGCATTCCGTAATGGACTCCTGGCGGTGGGGGTTGAGCTGGGGCTAAGTTTTGTGCTTGAACCTCACACATTGCTACGTGGCGATCTAACTGTGTTGGGGAGGGGTATTTAAAGGGGAATCAGATGCCTGTCCTATGTGGGTTGGTGAGAGGGGGTCAACCCTCCTTGGGATCAGTTAGGGGTGGATGATACTGCTATGATAACAGTTATGCAGCCCCTGTGTCTGGCAATGTCAGCGCATGACGATGGGGGGTTACCACTTATAGTATCTGGGGCGGTCTCCCAGGGAGCTAGAATCCCAAGGTGAGACATTTTGGTGTCTCACCTAGGGAATGCAGTCGCCTCGGGGGCAAGATGGATGGAGGGTTGTAGGGCTGACATTGAGGAGATAGGAACAGGCTTGGGCTCAGGTTATTGGTCCGAGTACAATTGGGCCATCCAGAACATCTTCATATATTATGTTTTCATTGGTTTCTTATACGGGGAAGGTTATATTTACAATTTTTTTTACAAACTACACTATGTTTGACTGGTCATACTTCAATCAAGAGTGTATGACCGGTCATACTTAGTGTAATTTGTAAAAAAAAATTGTAAATGGATGCTTCCCCTTCTTATATAGGGCATTTTCATTCTTCCCATAATTTTGAAACAAATTATAGAATTACACGTGGTTCCATATTTGGTTCAAATGCTTTTCGCTGCTAAATAATATTTGGTTCAATTCACAGTTCATTAATGTTTCTTTAGGTAATAAATAAGAGGAATGTTATTCTTACAACCTAAAAGTTTTACAATCTCTTACAACCTATTTTTTCACCGTTGATTTCTGTCAATCCGACGATTATAATTTGTAATAAATGTGACCCGATAAATCATAACTGTTGGATTGATAGAAATCAACGGTAAAAAGTAGGTAGTAAGAGGTTATAAAATTTTTAGGTTGTAAGTATAACGCTCATCAATTAATAAACATATCAACTATTATATAAATTTTTTGGCAACAAAAGCATTTTGCAAACTTTAATAAGTATCTGTCATGTAAGAATTTTTTTATCTTATTGAAGGAAGGTGTGGCTTGTATCATCACCCTTTAATTCAGTTAATATACCTTAAGCAATCATATTTGTTTCCCAGGAATTATGCATGCATTATGTCTCAATCACTCTTCTTCTTTATGCTTTCGCAGCATCCAAGACTCTTTCAGTGGCTTCCCATTCCAGTGGACTGCAGGTAGCAAACAAAACGAATCACCTTTCAATATTGTTACCATAGATGAAAATTGATTGTTGAAATTAGTCACTTTTCTTATTTGATTGGAAGATGCTATCGTGTTGCTACGGAGGAACGAGGGAGGGCGGTCACCCCCTTCAAATTTATATATTGCTTTAGTTATGAGCTATAATTTATATAATTTTTTAGGTCATATAGACAATGTTCATCCCCTTCAATGTTAAATACACATGTTTTTGTTATCAAAAAAAAAAAAAAATACACATGTTTTTAATTATGAACATCATCTCTGCACTTTTGTTCATATAGATATTTATAACCAGGAATATTACACTTGAAATTTTGCCCCCCTTCACAAATTTTTTTTGGCTCCGCCATTGCATAGTCTTGAATTGCTATTGTTTTTAATTTCTTCATTTTGGCATTCATATAGGAGAATGACTAATTATACATGCTTTGTGTCCTTGCAGAGGAGTGGGGGTCTATAACTAGAAAAATCGATGGATTGAAGAAATGGACTGAATCTTGGATTGAAATGAACGTTAAGTGTGCACATGGTATTGATTGTTATGCTTTTAGTGCTGGTTGCTAGATATTATCCATAACTAACATAGATCATTTTGAAAACATAACAATTTCTTGGGTTATTTATGTATGGACTGTAAGATCAATGTATCTAGTATTTTGCATTTTTTTGAGACAAATTTTTTTAGGGTGAGTAGTGTGCACATATACTCACTGGGACTTTGCAATCTTAATGTGATATATATGCGTATGTTAAGTACAAATGCCTATGCTAATGATTTAAAAGTGGTCATGTTTTTGGATAAAAAATTTGTAGCTTAAAAATTAAACATGGCGGTCAAAGAATTAACAAAATTTTGAATTTCGATCAATTAATCCAATGAGGAGCGGAATTAACTCTCTGTGACACTTTAATATAATAGTGAATTTATACATATATTCGACATCTTAAATATTAATAATAATATTTCTTGATATAAATTTAGTTAGAGTACTAATTAAAATAAAGTACAGAAGCTATCTAATGAAATAATGATCCCATAAATGTGAACTATCTTGAAAGCTAAATATTTCTTACAGTTTTATATATTGCTTACCTACCGTTTATAACTCATGTTCTAATACTCATTTTTTCATATTTTTATTTTATTTTTCGCAGCACCTTTTCGATACGTACTTTTACATAGGCAGTATCAGTTCTAGCACCAGTTCTCATTATTTTAACTTGAAACTTGTTTTACAAGTCCTACATATTATCCTAGGAATATTTTCACAATTATTATAATTTTCTGGGTTACTTCATCGGTACGCATTTATACCGAGTAGCCGAACCGATATCTGCACTTTTCATCAAAAAAGCGACTTTCAACGTTATTAATTACTTACCATAATTATTTAAGCCTTATCATAATTATTAGGGTCAATTATGAAATTATTTCCTAATTTTTCATAATTAATTAATTAACTTTCTTAATTAACGGTACTAGTTTTTACAATTTTTATTAATATTTATATTCTATATTCCTCTGTATTTTTTATTTAAAAAAAATCATATAAGTGAAATATTATTGCATGATTTTTATAAAATATTTAATAATTAAAATATCTACGAAAATTAATAAAGTTAATATATCTACGAAAATTAATAATAAAGATAATTTTTCTCTTCTTAAAAATTAATTTATATTATTTTTTAAAACCATATTCTTTTATTCTATTTTTTATTATGTAAAATAAATTAAAAAAAACAAATACAATAAATCGGGATGTGTACTATCAATTAATGGATAAGAATCATATATAATTTATAAATAACGTAGTGGTTCAAGTCACTCTATAGTATTTATTCAAGAATTGTATAATGATTAGAAGATATAATTATAATATTTATTAGAAAGTATTAATTTTCGTATCCAAAAAAAGTAGGAACTGTTAAGTAAAAAATTAATATATATTCAAAACGAAATCCAAATCTAAAAGTGAAATAAATAAAAAATTATGGAACTCTAATTATTTGATGTAAATAAATTGGGTATATTTGAGGGTGTAATTAAGATGGTGCAAATATGAGCACATTTAAAACAAAAGATATTGTCCTTTCAAGAAAACAAATGCTACTAGATCAAGAGTTCAAAAAAACTTTTATTAAATCGTCTTAATCTCACACGATCATGCTTAAATTCTAATAGAAAGATTTTTCTATTAAACTTAATATAAAAGAATTGAACTTCATAGCCAATGAATGGATAGATAAAAATTTTAATTGTATACCAATCGTACGTTACTCGTGCTATAATTATAGTCCAATTTCGATTAGTAAAATCTTTGAACATATTTACCCTTTCCTCAATCCCTTATATAGAGCATGCCTAATGTCAATCCAAAATAAATTTTTTTTTTTTAATGAAAAAAGCATCCATTTTATCAAAGCTTAATTTGTAAGCAATGTAAGAATAATAAAATAATAATTATAACTCATTACCTTATATAGGGCTGTTATTTGTCATAACTTTCAATGCTTTTATGCGACGTGACATGATTCTATTGGACTATAATACTTACCCTTGTCATATAGTATAAGAATTTTCTCCTGCCATTAATTTCTGCAGTTGTCATCTCACCGACTCGATCACTGTCATTTTCTTGAGCAGCCACAGTAGCTTTTCTAATGGAGAGTTGGGTTGGGAGGAAGAAGAGAACAAAGAGGCAAATGAAGAACAAACTCATATTTGACAAACTGCCTGGAGAATTGCAGATAGATATCTTCAATAGGCTATCTGGGAAGGATTTATCAAGAGCAATGTGCGTATCCAATTCATTGCGTGACCTCATCCTTCTCACTTGCTTGCCAATGGTAACTCCCCCAACCATTCGCTTTCTAGGTATCCTTATATGCATGCAATACATTAACAAACGCAAGAGACATCAAGGTTCGCTTTCGGTATGTGTTGATAATCTAGCTCCCCATCCTTTTGTTGTGCTCGATTTGCTTCTCAATTGGTGCATGAGAGTGATGCGTTGCTCAATTACACCTCGAAAGGTGATTGATTCTTGTAATGGGTTGCTTTTGTTTGCCCACAAGGATGGGGAACTTGAAAACCTAACACATGGAGTCTATCACTACTATGTCATCAACCCTATTACCAAGCAGTGTGTGGCTGTTTTGAAGCCTGGACCAACTAGTCCTTTGTATATGTATGCTGCTTTTGTTGGAAATCTTAGATTTATGC